GGGAGTTCCACGACGGCCTGCCGCCCATGATCCGCGGCACCGTCAACTTCGGCAGCAAGTTCACGCCCTGGGACGTCATGGACTTCCTGCGCGACTGGGACGCCAAGAAGGCCATCGACGACCAGTTCGGCCAAGGTGCGTGTGGGGTGATGGGAGAGGAGGGAGGGAATGGGGAAGGGTAGGTGATCGATCACTGTGTTGTGTCCTTGTGCTGTGTTGATCAGGTGCGTGTCTGTGTCAGTTCGACTACTACACGAACGTGGTGTGGGTGGTGTTCAAGCGCGTAATGATGTTCGAGCCAAGGGACTTCATCCAGGCACATTACACACACGTGGTACGTCAGGCAGCGGACCTCACACGCAGCCAGCCACAGACACGGAAAAACTCACTGTCCATCCATCCATTCATTGTGTGTGTGAGTGTGTCATCAGGTTGCGCCCGGCACTGTGGCCCATGTCGTAGTGCCGACTGATGACTACCCCGAGCCCAGTGGTCTGCCCGAAAGGAAGGCGGTGCGCGCCAGGATAATCTTGGCCGGCTTCCTCTGCGAGACCCTCCCCGACGGCACCATGGACGTCACCCTCCTCGCTCAGGTAATCAACTAACAACCACACACCGCACGCACGGCGGGCGTGTGGGTGATTGTGCCGTGGGTGTTGATGGTGTGATGTGCAGGCTGAGTTGAAGCTGAAGCTGCCAAATGCGGTCATCGCGCGGATACCCTTCTTGCTGGAGCAGCCCGCCGGCCTCATCAAGGCGCGCAAGTACATGGAGAAGAACGGCGTCAAGCGCACGTTCAACAGGCCCACCGACTACAGCGGCAAGTGAAGTGATCATAGATAGGACAGCTGTGTGTAGTAGACAGCCGGGCGGGCGGGAGTGGCAAGCTGGCTGGCTGATCGGTCAATCCACCGCACCGCACCCTCTCCGCATTATCTCCATTCCGTGCCGTGTGTGTATGCGTATGCGTGCCTGTGTGTGTGTCCGTCCGTCTGCTGCCATGTATAGGTTGCATTGCAGGTAGAGAAACCAAGGAAGGAAAGTGTCTTTTGTCCTGTCGTGTCCATCCACGTGTCAGTTTCAGCGTCCGTGTGCGTGCCGTGCAGCTTAGCTATTTGCTCTATTACTGTGCTGTACTGTGCTGTGTCGATGTGATGCCATCCAGATCTATACTGCCGATGATCGAATCTCTGCTGAATGCAAGACAATGGAATTCATGGATTGCTCTGGGGGGGCGGACACCGTATAGCACTCACTGGGCGCCGCCGTTCTGATATGAACGGCGGCGAGAACGCCCCCACTCCCTCACCCTCCCTGTGTCATGGGGCGCGCAAATCAATAGGCACTTGCCTAATCGCGCGGTCTGGTTGGTGTGTCAGCCACCTTAGTGTCAGCCACCTTCATGTGCAAACACCAGCAATGCCGTCCCAGCCATACATATCAGATAAGGCTCGGTGGACGAGCTGGACGAGCCACTCACTCATGTAAGTGCAACATCACTCACTGACCCACAGGCATACCATACACACACACACACACACACACAAACAACACAACCAACACAACCACACGAGAGGCAGCTGCCTATTCAACTCACTCACCTACGGATGGGCAGGCAGACAGGAAAAGTGAAGGACGAAAAAAGGCCGTTCGTCGACCCACATATAAATCTTCAGACAGGCAGCTGGCTAGCGAGTGCAGACAAGGGGTCTTGTGTTGCGGCTCGTCGACCTCTCAGCTACACACCTGAGACACCCACCACACCCAGGGGAACCAGCAAACAAATCAATGAATGCAGCGTGCAGATGGCACTCCGTCCATTCAGGGCACCACTGCTGTCCTCCCTCCCTCCCTTCCCAGCCAGGCTCTCACCACACCCGCCTACCTAGTTGTTTCCGTCGCGTCTCCGGCGCCACCAGTCCCTGACACGCCCCCACCCACGACGCGACCCCGACCCATGACGACGCGGCCACCACTCTGCACACACACACGCACACAGACAGACAGACAGACACACACATGACAGACATGAGTGCATGGTGCTGATCTGTGAGTGAGTGCTTTGTTTGTTGCCCCCCGGCGACTCACTCACCTGATGGTCGTTTGTCTGCAGCTGCCTGTGCTCGTCATCAGCCGCACTCCCTGCAATCATTCACGCAGACAGACAGACAGACAAACCCATCCATGCACGGTTCACGACCCACCGACCGTCGTTAGTACCTTGTGCAGCGTCGATCCAGAAGTCCGCCGTATCGCGCCCTCTTTGCCACCACTCCCTCACGTGATTCCAGACGTCCTACACGCAGACACACACACACACACATGCGTGCGTCCGCTGGGAGTGTCTTGCCTGCTCGCCCACCTGATGATGGTCGTCATGTTCGTCAGGTCGCAGCTCCCTCCCCTCCGCAGAGTCGTCCTGGGAAGAAACGGAGGAGAACAAAATAAGCAGGCTGCCTCGGTCAATTATGTGATTGAAGTCCTCTACTGTCGTTTTGGTGGCGAAGGGATCAGCACACACGGTACCGGCCAGCAGGAGGGCGCCAACGAGGCACACAAGCAGCTTCATCACGCGGGGGAAAGGAAACGGGGTCAGAGATCCAAGGGTTAGGGTTTGTGTGGGATCCCCCGTATGGGCTAGGGCAGAGTCTGGTGCATGTGACTTCCTGCGTACTTCCACGCACGCAGGCGCAGAGAGGACGACGGGAGGAGGCTGCAATTGCAACGTGAGTACGAGAGACAGGGCACTGTCTGCGACCTGGAGTGCTACAATGAGGAGTGGAACAGGACGGAGGCGATTGCCAACCGGGCATGCACGCAGGACACACAAATGGACACGATGTGTACGTCAGTGCATGGCGACTCGGCGCCCTTCTGCAAGTGGAATGAGACCCGTGTGGGCGCCAGTGGTAGCACATTCGGCAGATCCGAGACCCTATGCACCACTATCGAGTGCTCAGAGGACGCGCGCGAGATGTGCAAACTGCGTAGTCATACAAACACATGCACGGATCCATATCAGTACATCACTCTGTGTGTGCAGGTGCGGCACACACCGCACAGCGGTGACGGCAGCGGCGTTGTTAAGTGCGTGTGTGCGGAGGGGCACACACGAGCACATGCGCTGCAGGATGGCAAATGTTCAACAACCAACAGACTTGTTCCTATGTGTGTGTGTCAATCTCTGCCTTTCTTCGCCTTGCTGCTGTGCAGAGCCGCCAAGGCATTCATTGCGTGTTTTTGTGAGTGCCAATGTGAATATGTGATTCATGTGGTGGACTGCCTGACGTATGCGTCCCTCCGCCTCTCTGTCTCTCCCGTGTGCACGTGTGTGTGTGTGTGTGTGTGTCTGTGTGTTTGTGTGTTTGTTTGGGCCCCTGTGTGTGACTGTGCTGCGCATGTGCTCTATCTCTCTTTCTTTCTGTGTGTGTGTGTGTGGCCAAAGTGCTTCACTGTTTATTCCTGGATGCCAATTCTCTGGGTGTGTGTGTGTGGTGACGGACCAGCTGTGTAGAGACACTACACCAGCTGTGTAGAGACACTGACAATTGATCAATCAACGATGAATTGGCCAGCACACTGTCAGCAGGTTTATACGCCATAAAACCAACAAACAACGAATGAACAGAAACATGACAACACAGGGCGCTTTGTTTATTGGCCGCAATTCAGCAAGGACAGGTCAAATGAGGGCTCGGTGGACGAGCCACTGAGCACCCATCCAAATGCAACGATAATGACTGACGTATGACGACCGCCCAGCCCCGCCTCCAGACGTAAGACACAGACACAAATGTGAGCTCTTTACGTATCACACACGCACACAAATAAATGCGACAGCCCAGCCAGCAAGGACAGGCAGTCCGACAGGCACCCGTAATCATTTCTGTGGCGGTTCGTGTCCCTCCGTCCCTGCCGTGTCTCTGACTGCCCCGCCCTGTCCCTCCCCGGCCCACATACTTGGGATGGGACACATGCACTCACTCACGCACACACGCACACTCCACGTACCACCGTTCATTCAGCCAGGCAGGGTAGCCGCCGCACACGAACCACATCACAGCTCGATGGACGAGCGAACCCCCCATCCCCCCACCTAGATGTGAACGAATGGCGGACAGATAGGCACCGACGGCACCCAACACACACACACACACACATACACGTACACGTGCACGTACACATAATACACGTACACATAATACACATACACATAATACACATACACATACACACACACACACACACAGACTCTGACTTGAATAGCACAGACGACAACACGAAGACGATACACGTACATTCACAGGTGACATTGTACCCCCCGCACCGCACCGCACTGCACAGCGTCGACACGTTCCTCCCTCGCGGACTTGGTCAATCAATCCTCAGCCTTGGCGCTGGCGTGAGTGTCTTTGAACTTTATGTCTCCATCGCCAATCGTCCGAAGGCGTCTCTCTGTCGAGGGGCAGCTCCTCATGCTTATATCGCTGTCCGCGTCGATGATCCTGTTCGCCGGCATCATCCCCAGAGTCTGCCCGCCAGACTCTGGGCGCAGAAGTTGTGCTCTCTGGCGCAGAAGTAGATCAGATCATTATTGGTCCGCAGGGGAATGTTGTTACCGTCGGTCAAAAGGCCCTGGGTCGCTTCACCCGAACGAACATCCCCAGAGTCGGAGGCCGCCCGGGATCTCGGTCGTCACGCCGCCCACCCCACAATCTGCTGCCCAAGATCAGCTGCCCCACATCTGCTCGCCCTCGCGATTGTTGTTGTCACTCGCACACATCGAGATTGTCTTGGTTGGCTCAGGGGCGGTGTGGGTGTGGGTGTCCTTCTCTGGGCCGATGAGGGACAGGACAACAGGCAGCATGATAATCCCGTGGCCGAAGCCGATCCACAAGACCTGATGGTTGATTGAGGGCAGGCAGGGAGGGAGAGAGAAACGGAGCATTGTGTGTCTGTCTGTCTGTCTGTCTGTGTGTGGGTGGGTGGGTGAGTGGTTTGTGCCTACAAGAGTCATCATTCTGAAAAAGACATCGGATATGAAGCTTCCCATGGTGAGCAAGACCAGCATGGCCAGGAACGTCGAGAGCATTCCCTGCAGCACCGGATTGCCCATCAGGATCAGCGTCTCAGCAACCCTATACCACACATCGCCAGCCAAAATGCATAATCCATTCCCCTCCTCTCATACGTGGCCGTTGCATACCTGTGGTTGCGGGTGGGCCCGACACAGTGGGAGAAGGTGTGGCACATGTGGGTCTGAGCAAACCAGCACACACACACACACACACAGAGAGAGAGAGAGAGAGAGTGAGCAGTGTGACAAGAATGACGTGTGTGAGATAAGCTCTTTGCCCCACTCACCGTGTAGTCGACGGAGAACCCGACACCCATGACGATGCAGACCATTGACATCCCATTGAGCTTCAGGTCCCAGAAGTCCAAGAACCCAAACAGGCCCACGTCGATGGTCACCAGCATCACCAACGCCAACACCCAACACTGCCAATCCCGCATCAGGAACATCGACACCTAAACATACACACACACACACACACATGGACACATCCACACACACCTCGCCATCTCCCCTTGTATGCGTCATATGGTGCCCCCACTCACCAGGAGCACAGCGATAAGCGCATATCCCATGTTGAGGAGGGTCGACTGCACGATTGACAGGTCCTGCTCGTAATAAGGGAAGTACTCGCCATAGGGGAAGCACTCAAGCCCTCCAGGCCCCTCGGCTGCGATGTGGCAGTCTTCACGGCTGCGCGTCATCAGCTTGGCACCCGACACGTCAGGACTCGCGAAAAAACGCAACCTGTAGGCACGCAGACCCTCTGGAATGACACACACACGCACACACGCACACACACACACATACAGAAATGTGGGCGTGAAAGGCCGTGCTCGAGCGCCGTGTGTGGGGGTGCATCTCACCATCGTCGAATTTGAAGTCGCTTTTGAGGATCTTGGTCACCGGCATGTTCAGGAAGTCGCTCAGGCTGTTTGTGAGCAAAGGAACACATAGAGGCATGTGTGTACGTTTGGGTGTGGAGGTCTGTGTATCTCCCTCTCTGCAGTCCAGGCAGCTTACGTGTCGTTGAATGCCTGTGGGTCCATATCTCCATCATGGGCGGCCTTGGTGCGGTTGTAGAACTCATACATACCCGAGAAGACCTGGTCCGACGCGTAGCTGCTGCTCCGTAGCCGATCCTCATACGCCATGTACTCCTCCTGTGGACACATACAGCGCAGCACATGAATGCATTATAGCCGTCCATTGATTGATCCGTGTGCGCCAGCCACTCACCCGGACGTCTTTCTTCCACCACTCCTGCCGGTTTGGGAAGACTACAACGACGTCCTCGCCGTAGGAGGTGAAGCTGGTGAAGTACCGACTCCAGAACACCCTGAAGTACGAGTCCTCAGGCGTCAGCCACAAGAGATCCAAACCAGTCGTCATGCGCGTCACGCCCCACACAGACACGGCAATGTAGCCGGCAAACAACAGCAGAGTCACCACCTGCATAGGCACATGTAGCGACGGACGGTAGATGATCTTCCCCTCCGCCTTGGTGTGTCTGTGTGTGTCTACGTGTGTATACCTTGACAGCAGGGATGGTGACCCATCTGCCCCAGAGACGCCTGAACGCCCACCGCACCTTCCGCCCAACAGTGCCCACAGGCTCCACCACGTCGGCCATGGGGCCGTCCTGCGCCTCGTCCCACCCATCATCGTAACCCAGATGCACGCCGAAGAAACCGCCATTGCTGCACCCGTGTTGTCGCGAGCTGCTTGTGGTGCTTGTGGTGCTGGCCTTTCTCTGCCTGATAGTGAGCTCCTGCGCCTTGAGCTGAAGAGCCGCGAGCTCAAAGGTGTCGAGGGGGGCGGGAGTGGGGGAGGTGCGGCTGGGGGTGGAGGGGTGGGAGGCTGAGATGCTCACCGAATGGTGCTCCTGCTCTTGCTCTGGCTCGGTGGTACTGTCCGGCTGTGGCTGCTCTGGATCGTGGTGTTCTTCAGCAGCTGGTGGCGGTGGCGGTTGTGCTAATTTTTGTGCTGGTGTTGGTGCGGATGATCGCCTCCTCTTTCTGCAGGTGTTGCACCATGTCTCAAGGTAAGGACCCTTGCCGGCCGCCTCACGCTTGGCGTCCAGACACACACTGGCGAGAAAGAAGGTGAGGGCGTAGAAGTAGCCCTGAAAGGGAATCAAGGAAGACCGAGACATCCATGATGGGTATATGTGTGTTTATTGTGGGGCATGGGTATATGTGTGTTTATTGTGGGGCAGGCTGGCTGACCATGAGCAGTGCCAAGAAGGTGATGATGCAGAAGTTGCGGATGGAGAGGAGGTCGCTGGACGCACCCACACCAATCGCAATCAGATTGGTCAGAGTGGTGATCGTTATCGTCATGCCTGAATGCACCACCCATGCACACACATACACACACACGCCGAGAGACAGAGACAATTGCACCAACACGCTTTCCGTCCGACACCAAATTATCCAAGAACCTACCGCAGTCTTTGATGGCGACGGCCACCCGCTCTCTAGGGTCGGTCACCTTGACGGCCAGTGCGTAGCTGTTGAGTATCACGAACATGTCGTCGACGCCGATGCCCATGACCAGGAAAGGGGTCGCCGCGATCGTCGGCACGTGCACGAACCCCAGGCTGTGATACAGACCCGCAGAGAACATCACGGCCCACAGCGCCGCAAAACACCCAAACAACGCCGGCAGGGACCTGCAACACTCAGACAGAGAGGGAGACACTCGTGGACGCATCCATCCCGCGGCATACGTACAAGCATACTTGGATCGGTGCGGTGTGGTGGAGAAGTTGACGATGGCGCAGTATGACAAGATGATGATGCCGCCGATGGCAATTCGCGCATAGTCGAGCAGCCCCAGCCGCGTGCTCTCCTCGAGCTCGTCGTCGATCGACCGCCGGGCGTTGCGCACCAGCCTCACGCCGATCTCCTCGAAAACCGGCATCTGCTCCCACATCAAATCGAGCCACGCCTGCTCCCACGCCAGCAACACCGGATCCCAAAAGTCATCCGAACCCTCACGACGCAGCAGCCACCGGAACAGCAGGGCTGCACACACGCCAAGGGGTAGAGAGAGGAACAGTGAGTGATGCGAATGCGCATGCGTATGGGTGGTGCCGCGCTCACCTTCAGCGGCTTTGACCTTGCATCCTCCGATTGTCGTCTCAGTGGCAACGCTGCATCCTTCCGGTTCGAGTGTCACGTTGGCGGCGAGAAGGGGGACGGGCCAACGGATGATAGAGCTGTCGTTGCGGGACCAGTTGCTGTCAAGCCGCGTCTGGAAGTGGTACGGGTAGTAGAGGCTCATGTTGAAGTCGACCTCATAGCTAAACGCACACAAACACAAATAAACAACCAGCACAGTGTGTGCGTGTGGTGCCCTGTCCGCGCCCCTCCCTCCCTCCCTCCCTCCCTCTGTTTCCCTCTTCACTCACTTCCTGCCGTAGTAGGTCTTCGACTCGTTCTTGGGTGGGTAGAGCTGCACGACGCTCTCATGCTCACACCGCCCCGTGCCGTCCTTGACACACACGGACTCATATCGTGGGTCCTCATAGCCATACGTCTCCCCGTCCACAGTGACAGTCAGGTTGGCCACCTGCCGGTCCAAATGGTTGAGGGCCCGCAGTATGTGTGGCTGCAGCAGGTTCTGGCCGTCAATGCCCTCCACAAGCAGGTAGGTCACCCTCGGCATGGTGCCGAACAGCTCGGTCAGCCTGGCCTGGTCCTGAATTGAGCAGAGAAAAGGACAGCAGCAAAGGGGAGAGAGAAAGAGATCTTCATCCATCTGTGTGTGTCTGTTTGGTGGACGGACCTTCATGGCCTGCGAGTCAGGGAGAGCGTACAGCTTCATCGGCGCGTACTCCTCTGTCCGGTTGAGAATGCCAACCCCCATCAACAAAGCCATCAACACAGGCACCCAGATGAACTGACACAGACAGACAGACAGACAGACAGACAGACAGAAGGGCACATGTGAAAGGGACCCAAGGGCACATGTGAAAGGGACCCATGAAGCAGCCTCTTGGACCTTCCTTTCCTCGTTCCTTTGTTCCTTTCCTTTCCTTCGCCTCCTTACCCAGCATGGGAAGTCGTACACGAACAAGGTGTACCGATAAAAGCCTTCGTTGATCCTATCCACCAGCCGCTCCTTCACACTGTGGAACACCTCCCTCACCTCCCCCAGCCGACACCAAAGACCCTTCTTTGCATCACCGGCCATCGCCGGCTCACCAACAGACCAACCCTTTTGCCGTCGTGCTCGTCTTTCCGAAGATCAGCACGCAGGCCAGAAGATCTGGACACCCGTGTCGTATAGGTTGAGAGGGGGAGCGGTTCGGACGCCTCCGCTTGGTCTAACAGCAAAACCCCTTCGCGGTAGGTGTGCCGGTCGCTCCGGGGGAAAAGCGGCTTTCGTCGCGACGCGAGCTTAGCCTCGCGCGGAGCCGACGATTCGTTTCATTCCTTTGGTCCCCTCTCTAACCCAGAGCACTGTGAGAGCAGGAGATGGAGGTTCGTGTCACCAAGGAGCTGCCGTCCGAGATGGAGGCGGACGACGACTCGCCTCTGCCGCCGTGGGTCATTAACATGCCCCTGATGAGCCCGCTGCTCATCGCATATGACGACCGATTGCGGGACCTCTGTCGGGGAGGGTTGAAAAGGAGAGGCGACCGTGTGACAAGATCGCTGCCCAACATGCAGTACGGTTCATAAGAACGACACATCACTCAGGGCAGAGGCGAGTGAACCCTTTCTTGTGCGTGAGCCCTGGAGAAATGTGGCGAGTCATCCATCCATCCATCATCGCCAGGTGAGGATGAGTGACAGACACGCCACCAGCGCCTACTGCAATGAGAGAAACGTGTGTGTGTGTGTGTGTATATGTCTTGTGTGCGCGCGAATCAGGCGTTCTTCGAACAGCATGCACGCAGGGTGGCCAACACGGCGGCGACACGAGCCTAGAGCAGGATCAGATCCATCGACTGCGTATGTGGGTGAGATGACCAGTCAGCTTGCCTGTCATCCGTGCTGAACCGTCTCTCTCTCTCTCTGTGTGCGCGGTGCAGGCTCAGCCGGGCTAGTGCAGGCAACCAACACTCCTCCGTCCTTCAATCGATGACACGTAAGTGCTCACGTGCACTGTGTATATGCACGATGGTCCCTCTCTTCCTGGTTCTCTCTCCTTCTTTCTCATCTGCCCGACGTGATGTGGTCACGTTACTGTGAGAATTATCGTTGGCCTGAGCACCATCGTGATATGATCACGTTAATGTGAAAGCCATCAGACATATTGTTCAGCTCAGGCGACCCTTGAGCGGCAACCAATCTTCCTCAAGTAAGGCATACAGACAGACAGACACACAGACAGATAGACCGACGACTGACAACCAGACAAGCCAACATAGTCGGACGGTCATCTATCTGCCTGATGCTTTTCTATCTACAAAGCAGCTCCACTACAACCACCGTCATGCTCTTTCCTCCCTCCCTCTCTCTCTCTCCTCTCTCCCCTCTCCGTGGCCATAAGCAGCCGCACACCATAGCGGACCAACCACTCTCCACACCCACAAGTGTGCCAACACTATCGACAACCTGAGACACAACTACCGACCCGAGAACACCATGCGTGTGCCGTACCTAGCTGAGACAGGCACAAGCAGATATCCCTTGACATATCATCCATGGCCCGTACCACACAGGCAGGCATCCATGCATATGATACAGCAACAATCTGCACATCTCTGCGAGGCGGGTCACTGCCGAGGGAAGCTGCAGCTCATGCCCCACCTGACGCAGAGCGACACCAAGGAGGACGGTCCTGAGATGCTGACGGTACGCCGACCCTGCTGCGCGGCTGTCATACCGCCCAACACACGAGGCCGAGACATGAAGTCAAGCTGTACACGGCGTGGCGACTGCAAGGCATGACGGTGGCAAAGACGGCAGAGAACCACACAACTAGAAGGAAGGGAAGGCTGTACACACTGCCGGGGTGGATGTCCTGCTCGTAGATGTTAACTTGTCGCTGCGGGTGACTGACCTGTGACTGTTGATGCAGAGCCTGCAAGTATGAGGAGATCATTTTGCCTCCGCAGGGCGCTTGGCGCAGAGTCGGAAAAGATTGCGTGGCCGGCCGCCTTCGGCGGCCCTGCTTTTGCAGGAGTCTCGCTGTTCGATTTGTGCCGCACGTTGGAATTGCCGTTTCTGGGTTTGTTTCACGCCGACCCGAACACAAAAACTTTCATGATCCTACGTCAAAACCCACAAACGGATACGCATGTGATGTGGTGCATTCCACCACGGCACACGACACATGATCATGGCACGTCATGGAAACAGACAGGGCATCAAAAAGGGCGCGTGCACAGGCGCGTCACGTCAAAACCCCAGCATGGTCTTCCTATGTTCGTCTCGTGTCCTCTCGTGTCCACCCAACCTGGCTGGCTGGCTGGCAAACGGGCAGAGCTGCATTGAAAACCCTACCTAAGACGCCGACTTAGTACGAAAGCCCTACGTAAGACACCGACTTAGTACGATAACAATCCGTTGACTGCTCACAGGGGAAAATTGAGACAGACAGACAGACACAGACAGACACAGACAGACAGAGGATAGGGTTTGCCATTCTGCCACTCGACAGTTTTCACCTGAGAGGCCAGTGAAGTCACTACTTTACCCGTACGTATCGCTTACAAATGCGCCCTCACGCACTCTTCCGCCCATTCCCACTGTGGGGTATGTATGTGTGTGTTGCACCGTCCTGCAAATCGCCAGTATCCATCGATGTGGTTGGTGGTGATCTCTCTCTGTGACCCACCCACCCACACAAACACGAACATGAACATGTAACTGCGATGCCGGCATTCAAACGCCGATTCAAAGCACAGACTGCGAAGCGGGTCGCCTCGCATGCGTACGTATATGTATGCAGACGTATGCAAGTGTGCAAATAGGAATGCAAGTATGTATGTGGCGACATGCATTCATGCATCCCTCTTCCCGCGTGTGTACGCATACCATGACCAGGTCATTGCACGGCGACACCACAGCACACCGCTCATCGTCACCCAGAGAATGGCGGCAATGGTCATCATCAAACGGCCCCTCCCCCCCCTCTCAGGCTGCCAGAGTAGAGCGCCCCCCCTGTCACACGCCACCAAAAAGGGAGAGCGGCGCGCAGCGTGGTGCAAAAGAATAGCCACCAACGCCCACCCAGACACGTGTGTAATACATACATATCCGACCACGACGCATGCCATAACGCACAAATCGCCAGTTTCACCCAACACGACGACCCAGGCCATTGGGACATCGGCAAATGGAAAACGCACACGATGCATGCGACAACACGCCGAACCGAGCAGAGCGCGTCAAGTCAGTCGTGCGAACAGATAGGCCACCAACACTTACACACAGATACGCATGTGTGGTGCATTCCACCACGGCATACGACACATGATCATGGCACGTTGTGGAGACAGACAGGGCATCAAAAAGGGCGCGTCCACAGGCGCGTCACGTCAAAACCCCAGCATGGTCTTCCTGTGTTCGTCTCGTGTCCACCCAACCTGGCTGGCTGGCTGGCAAACGGGCAGAGCTGCATTGAAAACCCTACTTAAGACGCCGACTTAGTACGAAAGCCCTACGTAAGACACCGACTTAGTACGATAACAATCCGTTGACTGCTCACAGGGGAAAATTGAGACAGACAGAGACAGACAGACACAGACAGACAGAGACAGACAGACACAGACAGACAGAGACAGACAGACACAGACAGACAGACAGACAGACACAGACAGACAGACAGACAGACAGACAGAAGACCACCGAGAGAGCTTTCACCTGAGAGGCCAGCGAAGTCACTACTTTACCCGTACGTATCGCTTACAAATGCGCCCTCACGCACTTTCCGCCCATTTCAACAGCACACCGCTCATCGTCACCCAGAATGGCGGCAATGGTCATCATCAAACGGACCACTACCACCCTCTCAAGCTGCCAGAGTAGAGCGCCCCCCCCCCCCCCCCCCC